CGACTACTCGGTCACCGCCGACCCCCGCATGCTGCTGGCGGTCCAGAGGCACCTGGCCGCATCACAGGATGAGAACGGAGACACGTGAGCACATGAAGGGTTTGGGGGGAGAGTGTGGGAGCCTTGTTGGCCGTCAGAGCCATTACGGAGGCTCTGAGGGGTGGGAGGTGGCAGAGAGGACCTGGAGAAGCGTGGCGCTGAGCCAGGGGTCATCGTGCTCTCTCTCCAGGCCTTTGCACCTCGCTATTATCCATGAGCAGACGGCTGTGATCAAGCAGCTGATCGAGGTCATTGTTAGCATCCCCCACCAGCAGATCATCAACATCTCCAACAACCTGCAGCAGGTACATGTTTCCCAGAGCAGCCAGTTCTCCTCTACCTGGGGCTCGCTTCTGTTTCCTGACCCCGGGGGCTCCCGTTGCTGCTCCTGCTGGGGGGAGGCTGCAGGGCTGAGCACAGTGCAGCCACGCTGGCAAGGACGGTGCTGCAGGACTCGGCTCCTCCTGCGAGCGCTGCTGAGGGGGTGCTGCTGTCCCGCAGACGCCACTGCATCTGGCAGTCATCACCAAGCAGCCCCAAGTGGTCCAGCTCCTCCTGCAAGCCCACGCCGACCCCACCTTGCTGGATCGCTACGGCAATTCCCTGCTGCACCTGGCACTCCAGGCTGGCGATGAAGAGATGCTGAGGACGCTGCTGGCCCACCTGGGCTCAGCTGCCCCTTATCTGCTCCACCTGTCCAATTACCACGGTGAGCGGGGCTGGGAGACGATGGGTAGGAACCCGGTAGTGCTGTCGTGGGCTCGGTCGGAGGGCTGCTGAGCCTCTCCCCCTGTTGCAGGCCTCCTGCCTGTGCACCTGGCCGTGAAGGCAAAGAGTCTGGCCTGCCTGGACCTGCTGGTCAGGAAGGGAGCGGACGTGAATGCAGTGGAGAGGCAGGGTGGGAGGACCCCGCTGCACCTGGCTGTGGAGATGGAGAACCTGAACATGGCCACCCACCTGGTGAAGAAGGGAGGGGGAGGCTGGTGGGTCGGTGGCTGTGGGATGGGGAGGGGGTGCAGCCTCCCCTGGGGCCCTGGGGGTCCCCTGTAGTCTGAGGGGTGACTGGAGGCAGGGGGGCGGCAGCGCCCAGGCACCCCATCCTCACAGCCTCGGGCCTTTCTTCGTAGCTGGGAGCAGATGTCAACAGCAGGACTTTTGCCAGGAACACCCCCCTGCACCTGGCTGCCGGCCTGGGCTCCCCCACCCTCACCAAACTGCTCCTCAAAGCTGGTAAGGCACTGCCCTCCCTCCCCTCCCGCAGCCCCGGCTGCCCGTGCTGGGGAGTCCCCGGGCACAGAGCAGACCCCTGCGCCCTGGGCCGACCTGCCCTTTTGGGGGCTCAGTTCACCCTTCCCTGACAGGGGCAGACATGATGTGTGAGAACTAGTCAAGTCTCTATATGCTGTACCTCGTAAGGCCCTGCCCCCCCTCCCCTCCCGCAGCCCCGGCTGCCCGTGCTGGGGAGTCCCCGGGCACAGAGCAGACCCCTGCGCCCTGGGCCGACCTGCCCTTTTGGGGGCTCAGTTCCCCCTTCCCTGACAGGGGCAGACATGATGTGTGAGAACGATGAGCCCATCAGCCCATCCTCGTCGGAGGCCAGCAGCGACACGGATGCTGACCCCGAGGAGCAGGAGCTGGCCATGGAGCTGGGGGAGCCGGCCCCAGCCGTGGAGCACGGCACCAACCCCAAGCCCCCCGCGCAGGGGCACGGGCAGGCAGGGCACAGGCAGCACCGCTGCCACACGCCCCTGGACCTGACTCGAAGCCAGAAGGTGCGTGGCACGGGGGGTCAAACCCCTGGGAGTGTTTCCACGGGGGCCACGTCAGGGATGGGGCAGAGCTCCAGGAGATGCTCCTGCGAGGATGTCTGTGCCCCGCCGCGTCCTGGGGAGAGCCAGGGCATGGGGAGGCGGGGTGCGTTCGCCGGTGCTTTGGGGAATGCTCACGTCCCTGTGTCCATCCTGCAGGTGCGGGAGACCCTGCTGCAGGCCTCCCAGCAGGGCCCCGAGGTGGAGCTGCCCGCTGCCCCTTGGCCAGGTGAGCGGCCCTTCTCCCCACGAAAGCACTGTGCCCGGGCAGGGCAGGACCCTCCTGGCAGGGGGGGGACGGGCAGCACATGATGGAGGCACCTCTCCCACGCAGGGAAGGTCCTGTCGCTGGACAGTGAGGCGCTGCAGGGGCTGGAGCA